ATTCAGTATCTTTTAAAAAAGTAAATTAAATATTATCGAATCATATTATGTTTTTAAAATTAAAAACTAAAATAAATAAAAATAATAGTAGTTGCAAACAAAAAAAATTAAAATATTTTTGGATAAACTTTAAACCCTAAGCTCTAAACCCTAAACCCTTGGATAAACTCAAACCCTTGGATTAATCTTAAACCCTAATATTTATGACTAATCCAAGGATTTAGAGTTTACCCCAAGGGTTTAGGGTTTATTGTTTTGCTGTTGGTATTAAAAATATTTTTTTTTTAAGTCAAAACTTTATCCAAGGGTTTAGGATTTACAGAAAAGTTTTGAGGTTTAGGGTTTATTGTTTTGATAATAGTATTAAAAAATAATTTTTTTTGCAACTACTATTTATTTTTATCTTTAAATTTTTAAAACATAATATAACTCGATAATATTTGTTTCTTTTTTTAGTCGATACTAAATATAAAATAACGTAATCCTATTGGTTAATGAATCTAGAGGTTCATCCAGCCCAAGAATTACTCAATTGCTATTACAACCTCCGCCACTCGCTTTCAGAAGCAAACAAAAGAAAATATTTATTGAAAATATTTAAATTAAATCAATAATTGTTTGGATAAATATGAACCAAACCATTGACTTGAGAGAAATAAATTGAACTTATTAAAATCTCATCTAATAGGATATATTTTGGTTCAGACTGCATCAATGTTCTTTTTTTGTCATCCGCATCAACATTTTAAAATCTATAGGTTAAGACTTATCAGTTGGTAAACTTCCATGGATTGATTATGACCTCAAAAGTTAAGATCTATAAATTGTTTTGACCAATTATAAGAACATTTGACTGGTGGTTTATTCTTTTATGAAAACTGTATCATATATAGTTACAACATAACATCGACTTCTTCTTCTTAAACATGCCGCGTATTTTATACATAAATATCTATTATCCCAAACACAACATCAACAGAACACCCGATCGTATGTTCATAAAACGACATAGCATGGTATAAAATACAGATTTCAACAATATCATTCTATATAGTTTTAGATAGTTTTTTTTGTATTCGAAATTCAAAATCTATTATTAAAAATATAGAACATATCTTTGAAACAAATATATCCTTAAATATGTACATTTTTAATTTTACATGAACTTCCATTTATGCCAAATATTTGATATCAGTAACAATATCAAAGATAATATATTACAATATTTCAAATTTATGCTATAATCACAGGTTGGAATGAATATTCAGTATTTAATAATTTTGATAATATCTTGTATTTTCGATTTTTTGGATCTGAACATCAAAACTAAATTAAGACTACTATTATGTATTTAATACGTAACAAACATCATATACTATTTAATATAAATCTATAACTATAAATAAAAATAAATCCGGACAAGCATACAGATCACTTTAAGTAGAGTATAATTGCAAAATTAGATGAACGAAACCAAACCAAAATAAAAAATCATATATTCATAAATAACCGAACTAATACTATATTTCTTGAACCGAAAACCAAAATCCATAACTGAACCAGAACCAAACCCAAATAAATATGATCTAAGGAATCGAAGTTTATAAAATATCATCAAATCATAAAATTTTAGTTTAAGAATTATAAAATAATGATATAAGTAATCCTGCACAACTGTGCGGGCCAGAATCTAGTATTATTTTAAGATTAGTATTTGATATATTTAGTCATACTTGATTTTTGTATATTGTTTTAATATAATAAATTTATATACATTATTATGTTTTTTATATAACCTGATCTATTTATTTGTTGTAACGGAAAATTTCAGTATGTATAAAAGCTTAAAAATATCAATCAAAACCTGTAAAAAGAACTACAAGTTATTTTGAACTAATTTACAAAATTCTGAAAAACATATATATATATTATTTTATTGGTGGTCTGTATAAAGAAGTGGAAGACAATATACTTAAAGATAGTTCGGAGATAGACCTTATGTTAGAATATTACAATCATATTAACATAATACGAAACCTATTGTGAAGATGTCTGATTTTAATAATGTTGACACTGATATAGCACATGAGTTAGTGGTAGAAGTTCACCTATTATAATTTCTTGCTCTGAAAAATATACACTTTTCTTTTTTTGTAACACCTGAAAAATATAGGCAGTTAGTTATACCTATTACTAATTGTTTTTTTTTTGGAACAAACCTATTACTAATTGTTTCTTTATTAAGTAAAATATGTTGGTTTTATTGATGTAGCACGTCTTTTAATGTTGTTAGTGGATATTCATTTCCTTAATTCAAATAAATAACGTTATTATTAATGTTAAATGGTAATGGCACGTAATATTGAAAGAAAAAATTTGGTGAGTAGTTACAATTAATTTCTATAAGTAATTAATTAAAATTTAAATAATACATGTAGAAAAAAGTAATTTAACATAAACTAATATATATATATATAATAATCTACATCTAAAACAAATTAATATAAACTTGCTAATCTATCTATACTATTAAAATAAAAATAATGATTTTTTCATGTGTAATTTTTTTTAGTTTGGACCGTCATTTAGATATTTTATTAAATATATTTTGTTAATATTAGTCATATAAAATATTTTAACTACCTTAATCATAATATGTTTTAATATTGTTTCATTAAATATCTATACTATAAAAGCAGAATCTATAATATGATTCTACCCTTATTTTTTGAACATTTAGTTATATTAGAAATATTTGAATTTCAAATATCTGATTTTCTTAATTATTTAATTAAAAATGATTATTTCCTAAAATTACTAAACAACATTAACTAAATCTAACATCTCCTATAGATGCTCATAGACTCACGTTGCACATTAAGTTTTTTTGTTGGACAAAGGGCTTCTTCAAACGTAAGTTGACATTTACAACTAATATATGTCTATAATATTTTAACCCTTGCTGTTATTATTAATGTACAAGTATATAATATGCATAATATAGTCAATTAGTAAATATGAATGTTTTCATTTTAATTTTAGTATTCATATTAACCATCTATTAAAATACAATAGTATGTTTTATGATCATATTTATACAATGTAATCATACTAGAGAAACATCACTAAAATGGTGGAAAATTATATACAGATATTACATAAATCTTTTGAAACTGTTGGAAACTTTATATTGATATTGTACTTTCAAAATATTTGATTCCACATTTGATAACATTGAACGGATAATATGAGAAAATTGCGAAGTCAGTAATTATCATTTATATTCTAATATAATTTAATATTCCATTACCAAATGAAATGAATTTGAAGTTAATACTTACAATTTTTCAGATAATTATATATTATATTCTTATACTAAAAGTATACTACCCACCTAAAAATTTCCTATCCAACAAATTAGTATTAAACTATTAACTGAACAAAGTCAACTTTAAAAATAATTGTTTCCACTGTAAAGAATGCTTGAACCTGCAATATGGGACATTATTAAATATAATGATTATCAACAGTTTTTGAGTATTTCATGTTTTATTTTTTTTTGTATCATGCGACTTTTTAGAGACACACAATGGAACTAATTAATGTACGTAAAATAGAATCAAAACAAACATTAAATCAATGATTTAGAATATAGACTTAAAAATTTTAGCATATTTCTCCACAAAGACAATACACATGGAAATAATTACTTTAGCAACCTAGATTAATACATACTTTTCGACCAGCAGATTAATACAGGATACGATTGGTACTTTGATATATCTATCATTTTATTGACCATATATAAACACACATATGACCCAAATATAAATATAACATAATGCATATCATATATTGAGTGTGTTCAAATAAAATTAAAAACGAGTTACAAATATAAAATGGTTACAAACACCAACCAATATAATAAACCCATATATTTATAGTTATGTGTTTGCATTGCCATAAATTTTAATATGGAGAAAAATATAAAAATTTATGCACATTATAATAAAAAACTGATTCAGTATAGTATATAAAAAAAATAGATATAAAATAAAACAGAAATTACATCTATATTTTTCATCTAAATTCAAAATAGCTATAGTAATTCTTTAACTATAGTATAATATAAATTATGTATTAATTCTTATGAAAGAAAAAAATCCCGCGTTTTAAAAACGTGGGTCAAAATCTAGTAAAACATATATATTTAAAGAATCTAACTAATCTGTTGAAAAAGGTTATAACAAGAATTTTTTTTAACGAAGTTATATTAATATTTTGAGAAAATTTCGTAAATATATACACACACATATATATATATATATATGTTAGTACTATATGCTAATATATATACTCGGTTATCGAGATTGTTTATAAGATGAAAATATTATTTTGTTTTATCTATTTAAATATAAAAATCGTTCATATTAAAATAAAATTGTAGTAAATTAATAAATTAATCTATTTTATTTTTAAAATGATAAAATATTTATGCTAAAAATATAATATGTTGACAAAACATGTTAACATTATTAAATTATATAATACATATATAAAAAATTAAATTGTCTTAAATATATATATATAATAAGAATAATAATATAATAATAATAATAATCTATTATTTAAAATGATTATACAAAAGAATTTTTGTTAAAGGTAATTTATCACTTTGAATTGCGGACCAAAATCTAGCATAAATTAAAAACAAAATAATTTTATGCATATATTAATTTTTTAATAAAATAAATATATAATAAATATATTTGACAGTTTAAAATAATTAATTAAATTAAAAGATGGAAACTATAAAATTATTGTATTGTATTTGAATAGGCATATAATATTTAAATATATGGTTAACATTAAAAGTATATAGATTATTAAAATGTAAAATAAATATAAATATGTATAAATATGAAAAATACATGTAGGGTTGTGCAGATTAAAATCTAGTTTTTATCTTAAAAATAAGAATGTTAGTTGAAAACTTTCAGGAAATATTAAAGCTAATGACAAAAGAGCGACGGTAAAAGTGGAGATGTTACCTGTGATAAGGAAAAAGAGAATTGCAAAATCTGGACCGTTAGATATAAAACACCGAATGCAAGACAAAACGACATTTACAGCTAACCGGAGCATGAACCTATCTGGACCGTTGGATCAAAGTGTTCAAGAAAGACTTTTATTAGCTTACAGAAGCCCTGTTGTATCGGGACAGCTAGATGGAAACTTAAATGAACGGCTGAAAATATCAGGGCCGTTAAAAGAAAGACCACCGAGCCCAAGTGTGTATGTGGAGTACAGTAGAAGAGACGATGACACACGATGGGCTGCTCTGTTTCACAACTTGAAGCCAACATAGATCTCAAGTGCAAGTGGTTTTTGTTTAGTGCTGAAAAAACAGTATGTAGCTTTTTTTTTTGGAGCAAAAACAGTATGTAGCTAAGGTACTCAATTCTGGGGTATCCGTGGTGCTGCATATACAAACTATTTTCTTGTGCTCTTACTTATGGTCCTATTTGTCTCTTCAATCATTCCGGTCTTGCTCGTTTTGAGAAATTAAAAAAAACTGAGGTCGTATGTAGAAGTTAGGCTGCAAAGCAAATTGAGTTCAAGACGTAGCAGGAAACGACCTAAGAAGACATGCAACTACGGTTAAAAATTCACCTTAGTCGTTCGGATCAGATACATTTTTTTTGGATCAGATACATATCTGACTTTTTCTTATGTATAATCTACAATCTTCCCCAATAGCCATCAACAATAGAACTAAACGAATTACATGTGTCCACACATTTATTTTTTGTTATCTGTTCTTATAACTTGTAATCACCAAAACTTCATCAAAACACATATCACCATGGTTGCCCTCAAACATAGATATATCGGGTAATCAAACATACCTTCACAGAAAAATACCTGTGAATTAAGAGATTATGTCTATGTTTCTAACATTATTTAGTTATTTTAATACAACATTTAAATACATGGTTTAGTTGTTAATAAATATTTTATGTTATTTTAGAAATTTAAAATATATTTCCATGGTATCTTAGAAAATAAACTATTTATCAAAGACATAAAGATATTCTTGATTATCTTGTCAAAGTAATTGATTTTATGCTGATTGCAAAATAAGTTAAATTATGATTATCTCCAAATATTTACCACTATAATCAAGAAAATATTTATGTGCCTAGTATGTTATGGTGTTTTCCACATGTTATTTGACACATTAAGATTTTAGCCTCTTTTAATTGCAAAGTTCATATATAGTCGGATCCGTTATGACACATACTATAATTTGATTGTTCCTATTACATACTATAATTTGATTGTCCTGTGTTTCTTAAAGGTATACTAAACTGTTTGTGTAATTTAATTTACATGTTTTAAGTTTGTTGTTACACTATTTTTTAGTTATTTGCATCACATAAGCGATACTTAACTATGATATCGAACTATAGTTTTACTTGCACTGTCTTGTTTTTAACTCCCAACTTTTAGAAGACTGTCAGTGCTATGGATTTACAAAATGTTCATATTAGTCTTTAACATCAGCTGATGTTAATGCTTTTGGTAAATTGCAGCTTGAACCGGCAACATTAGCTGTGTAAAACCCAAGCATCTTAACATAGTTCGTTAACAACACTTGCTCACCACACAACGGTGCTCTGCACTCATATTACTCTTTCAACTGCTGTTGTTGCAAATCCTTCAACATATTGTCGCATATATAGCAACTATTTTCTTTCTTTAGGTGGATGTAATTGGTAAGCTACAATGTAATGTTTCTACTACGTACAACATCATTATATATATTCACCAAGAACTGTGATCTATATTCAGTCTCGAGAAACAACCCAATAGAAGCTCCAGATTCTCTACCATAGCCGGAGTAGGTATTTGAGATTTCAACTGATACACACGCTCTCCCGAACCTCCGACCCAGACTGACCGTGACCTTATTGGAATATATGAAGATATATTCCATATATATTTGGTGATAGTTACGATTATGTATAGTTTCCTATATTGCTAAGGCCTATGACGGTTTGTACTATATATATATATTACGGCTCTGTTTAGCCTAATGAATAAGATAAGCATATTGAAACCTAATTTGTCATGGTATCAGAGCTTGAACACCGAAAACCCTAAAACTCTTGATTTGAATCTCTGGCTTGACTCTTCTTGCAATCATAAGGGAGCCCTTTGACTTCTGACGAAATGATAAGACTTTTTAGGCCTTAGAGCAAATCAATGTAGTAAGGTAAGTAGAGTGTCAATCCAATCCTGAGAGCTACTGAACAAAGAGAATGCAAGACATTGCTAAATCTAAATGCAATCAATGAGGGTTTGTTTTATAAGTAACTAGTAACAAGCTATATGTAAACAAGAATAACTAAGCTTTGGTTTAAATGAGATAAAAGAACTTATGGGTAAAGGTATTGACTTTGGATGATCAAGTTACTATCTAGGGTGAGGTTTCAAGTAATCATTCATATCCTATAGGTCTAGACACAGTCCTAAGCTAGTCCTTAGTCAAGGTAAAAGCTCATTTGCTATCAATCTCTATACACAAATGGTCATTGGTCTAAATCAATCAAGCAATCATTGAGAACAAGTCTACCAACCATCTAAGCCTTCCTAACATGAAGTGTCCTTGGTTAAGCAAGCAAAAAGCATTATTACTTTGGTTCAGGCATTTCATCATACACCTTGTGGGCATGAAATGCCTAATGATCAAGTTTAGAAGGATTAGGTCTAATCTAGCATTGAGAATAAGTAATAAGCATAGGACAAGAAACATCTAACACTAATCACCCTAGATCATCACTTAATCACCCTAATCACCCTAACCCATAAGCTCAAAGAGAGTCTACTCAATAATCTTCATGTTTAATCCTAAACCCATGATGGATAGAAGACTAATCATGATTAGAAGAAGAGATAGACTCAAATTACTCAAGAAAGAAAGATTATATTAATCAAGGATTCAACTTTTCAATGTGTTTTTGGAGAGAAAAGAAGATATCATCCACTTAAGGTCTAATACATATTTATATTAAGCTAAAATCCGTGACACGGCCGCAACCTCCTCTTGGCCGCGCCACTAGCCTGCGATGCACCCATTTTGGCCGCGGCCTTCACATCCTGCGAAATAGCCTGCGAAATCTCCCTATCCAATTCGTCGTAACATCATCGCGGGCATCGATATCCTGCTACGGTTGCCTGCGGCAACGTCGCGGCCATCTTTAGCCTGCTACAGTTGCCTGCTACTGCACTACTCTCACTCCTTTGGATTTTTTGTGATTCTCTAGGCTCAAAATCATCATTAGCACTACTCCAAACCTAATAAGGACATATGAATGCAATATGGACCTAAAGATGCCTAAACCTAAATCTATATGATGATTTATGTAAAAAATGAAATGTTAAAACTATGTAAATATGCATCATATCAACTCCCCCAAACTACTCCTTTACTTGTCCTCAAGTAATTAATTAAGATCAGAGAGAGAGAGAGAATGAAAATGGGAGCTCAAAACCAAAGGATACACTTCTTAAACTCAAAACCACATCCTAGACAAACATAACCTATAGCATAAGCAACCTCAATTATTACACTCTATCTTCACAAGGTGTAGCAAGACTCTTTCTTTTAGACAAGTTGTGGATCACCAATCAACAAATCTCTTCAACCAACTCTCACATTCAATTAAGCATAAGAAATAAGGTGAAGTCTTGCAAATGGAAACTTGATCTCAATCATTTGGCTTGGTAAGTGAAATGGCTAAATGAGAATAGAGGGGTTTCAATACATTTCTTTTTAGTGGCTTACACTCAAGAATAGGAGCTTGATCATTATGCAAAATCTATCTAAGAAAATGAGCAACTTATGCATACATTGCTTGTTCTTATCAATCTACCCTTTTCCTAGACAACTTCAAACTCTACCATTTTCCTTGGTGTAAATTTCAAACCCATTCATTCCCAAAAACATTAAGACCACTCTCTTATTTCACTCACCCAATGAATTCATTCTCTTTTCTTTTCTTTTGAACCAACTAGGGAATTTTTTTTTTCACTTTTTACTTAAGCTCTACTCTTATTTTTCTTATGTCTTCCCCAAAGTCTTTTATAGACTCTTTTCTTTCTTTCTTTTCTTAGCCTAAGGGGTTTCTTATTTGAAGTTTCTAGAGCTTTTGTTTCTTTTTCTTTTGATCCCTAGTGGTTTTGTTTTGTTTTTCTTTCTTTTATTTCATTCTTTTCACTCATCTAACACCCCAAGACCCAAGATAAACTCTTTTTCATCACAATACCAAATTTCCATCCTAATTGCTAGCTCTCAAGAGGTCCTATAGCTAGCCTGAGATAAGAACAACCAATGTCGCCCCTAATACTCTCAAGTTTTTGCACATGACAAGCTATCAAAAGAGACCTCACACAAGCAAAATGATTTAGGTTTCAAAGAATGGTAAGGGTCTAAAGGTAAGGAGTGCCATTTGGGTTGGAAAGAGATTGGTATGAAGGGTAAGTCCAACCCAAATGTGTATAATCCATGATCAAGCATGCAAGAGTCCATAAGCAAGACTAATTAAGTTCATTTTATCTTTTAAATTCATTTTGGAGTTGGTTTAAAGAGAATGCCGATCTCACACAAGCAACAAGTTTAAAGAATGAGTTTTCAAGGATCAAAGCATGCAAGCTTTTTAGGAGATGCTTATGCTACTTGCTATGATCACCTAGGGTGTGATTTTGAGTTCTAAGCATGTGTTTCCTTATTAGGTCAGCTCCAAATGCATGAATGCAATCTAAATGCTTGTTTTTGTTTCTTTTTAGAAAATTTTCAAATTTTTTTTTTTTTTTAATTTTCTATGCATATATGTATGTGAAATGCAATGCACGAGACTCAAAATCAACAAAGCAAACATGATCAAATACTTGGTATCTCCCCCAAACTTAAATCACACAGTCTGTGTGTGAGTAAGCGAGAAGGAGATACCGAAATATGATAAAAGAAAGGGTATATACAAAGAATGGTTTGAGTGATACCTCAAGAAGGAAGGAGCAGTGTTGTGGCTGTTGGTGTTTGGGCATGACCTTTGAGCATATTGAGGAGACCCCCAAACTTGTTCCTGACCTTATTCAACACAAAAGAACAACAATATATACAAAGATAAACATGGGAATTCCTCCCAAGTGAGCTTGTTTAAAGTCTCTTAGCTTGACTACCTTTGTTTACCTATGTAGAAGGAGGATCCTTCCCACCTTTAAGGGTGATGGTGAGGACGGAGCTCTTGGAGCTTGAGTGGATCAGCTTGGAGTTGAGGAGAAATAATGGCCCTGGCACTTGAGAATGGCTTTGACCTTCCCTTGCACTTGATCTTATACTCAATGGCTCCATCCTTTAGCTTTAAAGGGTGTAGTGTGAGAGTGTGTGGCATCTTGGCAAACTTTGGAGATGGAGAAGCTTTCATCTTCTTCTTGTTTGGAGTAGGCTCAGTAGCTTCACTCACCTCCTCTTTAGTAGCATCTCCCAAGTGCTCTACACAACTCTTCTTTGAGGAACCT